ATTTTAATGTTTGTTGTTGAAGCAGGTGATGATGAAATTGTAGAACGATCTGTACGATGACCACCTCGCTTGCCACGAAATCGAAAAAGCTTTAATTCCTTAAGAGCAGAGGAGCAGCAAGATGAAGGAGCTTTTGTATTACGGCGAAGTTCGAAAAGATTTGCTCTTGAGTATAGGATCAGCTCAATTTGATACAAAGTCCGATTCATCAGGCATGTTTGAAAGTCAAATTTACATATTTTTACAATAGCAAGAATAATTTGAATACGGATTTAGAGCATGCGCAGACGTTTTTTACTCATGTCGTCTCCCAGTAGAACAGTCTATCCCACATGTGGCATAATACTTATCTACTAAATAGTCCTCCATTGATCATAAGAATGTGAAATGCGCTATGTGAGAACCTCCCATTAAATTGTACATTCTTTATACTTTACCGTTGGCATTTGTGAATTTTGGGACACTTGGTCTTTGAGGTTAATTAACCCTAACCATAACCCTGTGATCGAGGAACACACCGGTAAAAGACTAATTCATGATTCTAAAACAGTCGGCGGATTTCTGCTAAAAACCACACCTAAGAAGAAACGTTTTTCTGGGCGGCTTGACTCCACTTTAGCTCGTAACGAAACCTGTCATATGTTGTAAAGTTGACCATAGTCTCCTAAATACTCAAGTGAAATCCCGAGGGTTAAGGGGAGTACTGAGCAATCCTTTGACGGCTTTTTTATTCTTTATTCTCTCAGGAAAGAAACACAATTTTGACAAATATGGCCATGGTAAGATCGACAGACTGAAAGCGGCGTATGACCTAGGGAGCATCATGCATTATGGGAAATACGAATTTTCCCGAAACGGCAAACCCACAATAGAGTCCATCAGTAATCCAAACCAGCAACTGGGACAAAGAAATGGGTTTTCACAAACTGACATCTTCGAGGTCAATGCACTGTATGATTGTTCAGGTGAGACTTATACCTTGTATTTCAGTCTTGTGCCTTGCTGTAAAACAAGGGTCACTTCTGAAACCATTACATCTGACGTCAACTTAAAGATTCGGATAAAGAATAACTACTGCATGAGGTTGAGCTTAATATAATAATTTATCAAGACCAAGGTCGTGTTATCTGCCGAAGCCGTAGGCTGAGTTGTATAAACCGGCCGAGGTTTTGATAATTTACGACTTGTCTATAGCAGTGGTGAAAGTTACATCTACTAGCTTCCTCGTAGAGCTAGAGCAGCCTATTTATTTATTCCTTGCTTCGTTTGTTGCTGTCTAATTTCCTCATCAATCCTTGCACATGATGTATTTAGGGGTTCAAGGGGTTCATAGCCACTTCACTACACGTTTGAGCAACCTGGGTTCTTGCACAATAAATGAGCTTCAGGAAATTAAAAGCAACAGTTTTGTAATTTGGTTTAAAGAACTAAAAGAAACCAAAAATAGACTATTTCATCTTGGACGCCAACATCTGCTCATTACAGACCACGTATATGTCATTACCTTGAGGAGTGCATTTCCTTTCATTACAACTTATATTTAGCTTTATTTATTTGACCAAAATAAGTACTTTCTTTCTTTTCAATGATCTAAATATATAATTTAATGTAATTTATCATAAAAGGAAATGTGAAAAAAGATGTATTGTATTGTATTGTTTCTTTGTTTAATCGTAATGCTTTAAGACGTAAATAAGTTATTACTTTGACATAAGGCTTTTAAAAGAATATTCCTAAGATAAAAAGCACTTGCTCTGTCATGATAACATGATCGAAAGATTTCATATTTTCTGAAGTACTGACTCGCATTTTCTTCAATACTGAAGGTCCTTCTAATGGTTGGAGCTCATGGAGTGACTATGGCCCTTGTGTAAGAATTCGAAGATGCACAAAAATTCGTCAAAGGTTTTGCTCGTCTTCAGATGTCTCAAATTGTCCTGGAGCTAACGCAAAGGGCTTAGAAAAAGAAACCGCCCAATGCAGCCCTAGTGAATGCAATGGTAAAATGTGAATCTTAGCACTGATATTTAGTACTATTTTAATATTGATTCAAATTTTTACCTTATATAGTCAGTGATTAGACTGGTATCTGCAGCTAGACCTGAACACAGCAGATATGACAATAGTCAATGTGTAACAGTCAAATAGACGCGAAAGAAAACAGTGGAATTAGGGTCTACTTAAAGTGTATTAGTCAAATTTCACGGGTTTAATGACTTCACTCTAAGTTGCATGGCACAGTAGTACTACTACTAACTCAGTACTACTACTACTACTACTACTACTGCTGCTGCTGCTGCTGCTGCTGCTGCTACTACTACTACTACTACTAGGTTACTATGTATATGTATTGCAAAAGGATTAAGATTCAGTCAGTGATTAAAAGCAATTACATTGATAAATAAACAATACAATTATCATTATTTTTATTATTTTCATTTTTATTATTTTTATTATTACTTTTTTATTATAATTTTTTTTTATCACCAATACATTGATGTATTCTTGATTTCAGCAGTGCTTAAGGATGATTGTAATTTCGACCAAGATATGTGTGGCTGGAAGGCCAGATCGCGGACAAACACTTTGTCGTGGACCAGAAGGTCAGGCTCAACACCAAGTTCTAACACAGGACCTAATAGTGACCATACTTCAGGTTTAGGTGAGTAGTTAATTCATATCAAACACTGAGTGGGGTATTTCCCTGTGTCTGTTGTCTGCGAGGGAGACCCACGAGTTAGCATCGTCCCCGTATCCTTCCTCGATTTTACAAAGTTTTTCTTTTTTTACTTTTTTTTTTTTCTTTTTTTCTTCAAAATTGTTCATGTCGAATCCGTAATATATCCTCACTGAAGCCATTATCACATCGCAGTATGATTAAGTTATGGGGCGAGATCCGCGACGATGATGAGGCAAACAGCGAGAATACGGAAAACGGCCTTTTTGTTTGCCGCTTTTCCGCACAATCCAAATATGGAATTGATCATACCATATATGGAGTGAGCTTTCTCTACTCAAACCTCGACACTAACATATAGAGTAAAGCTTGATATGTGTAGAGATGACCTGCTCTCATGTTTCAAAAAGAAAAGAGAAAGCGCACGAGAACCCATGCACCCATGCAGGTATCGCAGCAAGAAGTACGAGTAAGGCATTAGACACACTTTCAGGCCACTATGGGAGAAAATGAGAAAGAATGGCGCGTTGTCAGCCGTAAAACAAGAAGAAAAACAATGAAATGGACATTGCCTCTTAAGATTAGCCGAGCATAGGAAATCGAACGATCTCGAGTACAAATCGGAATTTATAGGTACAAGTGATGTTTTGAATGTTTTCAAAATTGGACGAGCCTTTAGGCGAGTTCAATTTGAGAACTTTCAAAACATCACGAGTATCTATAAATTCCAAATTGTACGAGAAGATTGTGCGATTTTTCGTTTATAATCACACTCAAAAAAATTGAGCAACTTAATTGGGACCCTACAGAGTATAATTTGTATAGGAAATCGCACGATCTCGAGTACAATTTGGAAATTAATAGACACGAGTAATGTTTTGAAAGTTCTTGTAATTGCACGAGCCTTTTTTTTTGTTTATAGTTCACTCAACAAAATTTCAGTAAAAAATGCGAAGCGACGCCGTTCATCTTTATCTATTTGGCGGCCGATTTTCAGTCCATCGCGCAACTGAAATGCATAAAAAAGATTAGTTCTTACGGCTTTAAAATTTTATTTACTGTTTTTTAAGTACGAAATGATAGAAAATAATTGTTTTGACATTATTTTGGCCGTGTTGCCATAGCGACTTAATTCGGTACTCCAACGGAGTACAATTAACGGTATAATTGTACTCCTCTCGACCAATCAAAGTCGAGTAATTTTGTTGAGTGTACTATAAGGAATTTAATTGTACTCCTCTTGTCCAATCAGATTTGAGTAATTTCGTAGAGTGTATTATAAACTACTATATGATGATAGCTCCTTATGTTTGTGTGTTTTAAGGATCATATGTGTATGTGGAAGCCTCTTCGTCAACTACAAAAGGTCAGACAGCTACCCTGGTCAGTAAGGTCTTCCCTCCCGCACCTTCTGGTCGCTGCATGAGTTTCTTCTATCACATGTACGGTGCAACCATGGGGTCGCTTAACGTGTATATCAAAAGCTCTTCCAGTCCAGTTCTATCCAGGGTATTCAAGATTAGTGGCGACCAAAAGAACAAGTGGCATCAAGCTTTGATTAATATTTCAAACATGTTCTATACGTACAAGGTAAGGCAATTTTTTAGGCCCTTTTCAATGGCAAGTCTCATTCAAGGGCTTTTACTACAATCGAAACACATTATTTTGATCAGGAAAACATTAAAAACTGATATTGCATATAACACACACCACGCTCATTAATAATACATTTCGATCATGTTCACACGATGAAGGTTCTTGCTTTCAATGTTGCAATATTGTATATTGTTGCAATGTTGCAATGTTAGTTCTGGACATAACAAAGAATTAGAGGCAGTGCGCAATTTAATGTAACAGTTGAATTTCTTGTGGCCACAGACCCTAAATTCCTAGAATCTTATAATATTCTACCAACGAGGTAGGAAAACCCCTAGGGTATCTACATATATCTTTATTTTCGTTTTGTTTTTACAGGTTGTATTTGAATCTGTCCGAGGGTCCTCGTATCTTAGTGACATCGCGCTTGATGACATTACATTTACAAAAGGCCCTTGTCCGAAAAGGTAAATGGAATAGCCCCAAAATGTAGATAATATAACGGTACCAAAACATATAGCTCCGCTTATACATATATACTCAACCTTAAAGAAAATATGTCTTTGTTATTAATGCATAAGATAAACAATATTTTTTCTTATGCTAGTTTTCCGGCACTATTGTCTTGCAAAGGAATTTTAATATTTGGAAACAGTTTTTTTTGAAAGGGATTGTTGTAGTTTAGGCATGAAGCGTCATTAGGGTTAGGTCTTATTGGTGTACAAATAGGCAAATCTAACATTACTTTTTTTCTTTAGATAGAGTATAATCATGATGACACAACAAATGGATCGAGCCCGGAAGCACGCTAAATAAATGCTATGGCATTAGTAAATAATTGTGGTTTAAATTTAAAAGATAAATAAAGATCATAAAAAACGTTCGATTGTTCGCATTGTAAAAGAACTGAATTACAGTTGGAAGGAAAGAACGAGCTTACGAAAGRCGCTACGAACTCGATAAAAAGAACAGATATAGGGAGCGAGGTACAAAGGAAAAGAAAGGAAATACTTAATAAACTACTCTACCGTTCATGATAGATGAGGCGGTAAGCCGTGTGGGATGGGCTCGAAAATCATATAAGAACATGCGTAATACGTAAATTACGAGCCTCGTATGAAACGACTGAAGAAGAGGGCCAATGGGCCTTTCACAACTTCAAGTCGCGTAAAATGAACCAGCTCAACTAGAAACCTTGGACAGCTGTTTCGGCCTGTATTGGGCCTCGTCAGCACGGTGCATCTAGTGAGTTGGTAGAATCCCACGAAAAAGTAGTACATGATAGATGAGGCAGTAAGCTGTCCACGGTTTCTAGTTGAGCTGGCTCATTTTTACGCGACTTGAAGTCATGTGAAAGGCCCATTGGTTACGCATGTTCTCATACTCTACCGTTCGATGAAACGACATTTGATAGGTTCGATTTAATGGAAATTAAAGCTAAGCACTCCGCTAAAGTTTTTTTACATTTGCCTCCTTAAGCTTTCCATCCGGCCATAATTCAAGATGGCCGCCGTGCCAGTAAAAACAACTATTACTCAGTATATTAAATTAAATTATTCTGTTTGCTTTTGCCGCAATTCAATACTTGTAAAATATCGATATCATAATACTTGAAATGTTTGTCTCTGACTTAAAATTTTTGAAACGTTTTTTCAGGTATTTAAGCATTTTAAATGCTGGTGTTAGCACGCGCTAGAGTTTTGTTCCCACCGCGCGGTCATGAAAGATTTCCATTTTGGACTGATTTTGGCCAAACCATTTCTTGAGCTAAAATCCTACTGCCAGACTCTCACCAATGACTAATTCCTGAGTGGTTTGCTATTGATTGCAAAAATCTGGCTCTTTGACAGCTTTACGGTGTTTGCGTTGATCGTGCGTTTTTATCGCAGCAGAGAGGGCAACGTTACACGTCACGGCTAAAAGAAATAGGTAATTTCCATTTTTTATTTTCTCATTTTGCTTCTAGTATGATGTAACTTTCGTCATGCAAAATTGTAAAACAAATCTGACAAAGGCTATAACTGAAAATAACCAGAAACTCTCTACTCCCATATAAGTTTCTGAACTGTTAACGCCATGATTTTGATCATCACCCAGCAAGTTTGTATGTGGAAGTCTATACGTCGCGACCAGTTTTCCAAAAAGAGTCCCACATGGAAAAGAATGCCGTTGGACTGTTAGTCATTATCGACAGACGCGGTTAGTTGGTCTGCTGGTCATAGCAAGAGGTTAATCATTTACGGTCTAGGGGCCGACTAACTTCTCACTATGATCAGTATAAGATCTAGACTTCTGGTAACGATCAATTTAATTTTTAATAAAATATGGCAGCTTTTTGACTGCTTCCCGTGTTGCGTTGCTCGCGCGTTTTTATCGAAGCAGAAAGGGTAGACGTCCTCGCCATCTGACGGCTAAACGAAATCGGTGAACCCCATTTTTTATTTTCTCGCTCTACTTCTAGTATGATGTGTTTTCATCATGCAAAATTCAAAAAACCCTGACTGATGGGATCTTTAAAGGTAACAACTGAAAATAACTAGAAAATGTTTTAGGTTTAGAAATAATGCAATGATTTTGATCCTCACCCAGCAAGTTTGCATGTGCAATTTACGTGTCGCGGCCAAAACGCATCAAATGCATCCCACATGGAAAAGAGTGCCGTTGGACTGTTAGTCATTATCGACAGACGCGGTTAGTTGGTCTGCTGGTCATAGCAAGGGGTTAATCATTTACGGTCTAGGGGCCGACTAACCTCTCCCTTAGGCTTCGGCCGAGCTTCCTGATCAGTCTGTAAATCCCGGATAGCGGTGTTGGGGCCGAAATCTCCAGCATAGCCGTAAATGCTTCGCGCTGCCATACGACGGTTCAGCAATCGATGTCTGGAAGTATGGTCCTAGTTATTTTTAAGTGAATGTTAAGATAATACCACATTGAATTTTCAAGTCGTCCGCAAACAATATTTAGTTCTATCTTGGTCTATGGATAAGAGAAGTGCCAAACTTATGTTTCGAATAAGATCAAACGATATTTTATATAAAACTGGTAACGCCGATGCATGACCACTTAAAGGCACGTTGCAATTTTTCATCAGAGCCCTCGTTCTTCGCCTCAGGCCAAAAGAAGCGCAGGCTCTGGGTATGGAGCAGCTTTGTACATTCTGCGCAAGCGCTGCGTCACAACCATAACGATGCGTATAAAGGAGTGAAAGATTGGTTTGCGATTAAGAAACTGGTTTTTAATAAGTTTGTCTTTTAAAAATAGGACATTGAATTTACAGATTGTATAATTTTTTCTTTACTGAAGGACTATCAATCTTTACATCTTATTAATCTAAAATACTCATTCCAAACATCTATCAATATTACAGTCTTCAATCGATCGTTCATTAGTTCTGAGGTAAATTTGAACTACGTTTCACGAACAAAAGCCTACATGCTAGGAGCCCTGCTCCTGACGCAATTATTACTGGCTATAGATTTGATGTTTTTCGACAATTATATCTAAAATTTCAAGTGGATTGCTCCTTTCCTTCCTTTCTACCTCCTGTCTACCTTTCTAGTATTGGAAAACCACAGGAAGACCAAAGTAGGCATTTGTGCGTCATTTGTTACCCAGAAGCCTCATTGGTCTTAGCTGTTTTACCCTTTTGATTATTGTAATTGTGAAATCAATTTAGTATATGTGTGATTTGGTTACGCTAGAGGATATTACGATAATTTATGGACTGTTTCAAAGAATGTCCATCGACTCCAAGCGTTTTGTATGCAGGCTCACTGGTTTAGTACAAGGAATGATGGTACTTTTCGGGTATTGCATCGAGAAGCCCTAAAATCAACAGATAAAACATATTCAGTGCGGTTACATGAAGTATCTTCTTCTGATCACCAAACAAACGTCATCTTTATCGATACTTTAAACCCGTGAGGGGGGTGGGGCACTCCTAATGGAAAACAGCAGGTATGCTCGTCGTACTGTACCATTTAGGGTTCCAGATTCGCAATTTGGTACCTCTTAGGGTGTCACAAATCTAAAACTACCAACAGAGAGAAAGCCGGTAGGTCTTAGGGTGTTTCTGAGGTAATACCAGCTGGGATTATATTAATTACACATTAATTTTAATAGATTATTGGTACTTTTTTGGAGTAAACCTAATTAGTTGCCACGCCCACCTGGGCAAGATTCAGGTACCTTTAGGGGCCATTTTTACGAAATTTCCGACGAGGACCCCTCCCCTCAGGGTGAGTTCTCCCACGATCTGAAACAACCATTGCGATGATCTAAGTCAGGATATGGTTGATAGCGTTTGCGGAGGGAGGAAAACCAGAGAACCTGGAAAAAACCCCTCGAATCAGCCTTCGAAGTTTACTTGCAGTTTAAAACTGACCAACATTACCTTTACTTTCAATCCAGCTTTTGTTAAAAAGTCGTGTAAAATAGCGCTGAAAAAAAAAAAAAATAAA